CTATGCCAATAATTTATATAAGTACATATTATATTAATTGAAGTAATGTACAATTATTTATGTATTAATCTGTATCATGCTAATTAATTATAATCAATACCTTATAACCATTCCCAATCCATTATTTTTGCAAAATATATGACTAAATATAGTATTTTGTAAATATATAAAAGGTGGCGGATCAGGTGCGGTTGATCCAATCAAATCAGCATATCACATAAATGTATATAACATATAAGATATTATATGCTGAATTATAACATTACATATATTGTATCATAAATATGCTATGATAGTTTTGTCACACAAAAATTCTATTGACAATAACGGATCGCCAATGTTGAAGAATGTCAGGCGATTGGATCAAATCGACTTAGATTAATGTCCAATGTATACAAGTGCAAAATAAACCATGATCTAACCCAATCGATTATTCATGGAGCTCAATGATTGATGGATAAATTAATTGGTTGATTTTCTCACTCAACTCAATGGATTAATTGGCCACTACCTTAATTCTTATGAAGAGAGTAAGTGGTCATTAATCGATCAATTATGTGGTGAAAATAGTAGTCATTAATCGATCAATTATGTGGTGAAAGTAGTGGTCATTAATTGGCGGAATAGTGGCCATTAATTGGCTAATTAATCTTCCTTTCTTTACATTTTCTTTGCATCTTTTTCTTATTTTATTTTTATAGAATCTATGTTGAATCAATCTTGAATTAATAAAATTTGTATGCGCCGTCATTTCTTTGATTATTTTTGTTTTATTTATTCCTAAACGTATCGCATACCACCGAAGATTTGCATCCAATTGTCCGAAAATCCACCAATATTCCCGGTGAGAAATTTCAGGCCGGTGCTAATTTGATTGGGTCAGTGCCATATTCGCAACCGTATAAAAGAGTATTAAATGAAAAATTTGTTGAAGAAAACAAAAAAAAAAAAAAAAAAATCATACATAACAAACCTTATTATTTTTTATTGTTTCAGGGGATATATTTTCTTAAGTCATGAATTTTATTTAAAATTTTAATTGAAATAATATTTTAATATACTATTTTATGTGAATAATATTTTCTACGTCAATTAAATTTACGTTTTTCTTTTTTTGTTGGCTTGTTATAAAAAAGTCGTCTTGTTTTTTTCTTTAAATAAAAAATTATTATACTTTTTATTTTTTTTACTAAAAAATTATTAATTTTAATTGGACAGAATTGTACGATAGAGAATATACTTTTATTAAAAATAAAACATGTATTTTTTTAGAGTGGTTTGGGAGAATTTGAGTTTGGGTTTAGTTTTTATTTGAATTTTAGGATGAGTTTGAATTTTATTGTTTATTTTGTGTTTGAGTTTGGTTGGGATTTTGAGAGTTTTGATGGATATTGATCTGATGAATAATGAATAAAATAATATAAATGTGTATTAAATTAAATTGATAAAATTTATATTGTATAACCTCGTTATGAATTTATAATATACCCAACGTATATATTTAATTTTATGTATTTGTATTATAAAAATTTTTATTCTCTACAAAATAACATATATATTATACATATTTTATTAAATTATAATATAAATAAATATTAAATAATTATAATTATACATTCTTGTACACGATCGTGCACAAAACCCCTGAACTTTTCGAATTTAAATAAAAAAAAAAAAACTGTAGCATACCAGCAATCGTCGAATAAAAAAAAATTGGATGAATTCGACGCCACTTTTCAAACCAACAGTAATCGCACGAGAGGTTTGGTCAAACCTCCTGTGAAGAAACATACCCTTTATATGAAAAATATAAAGAAACCAAAAAATATATATATTTGATGAATTTTGTGTGTTGGACATAATACCGACATTTTGATGTTTTTGACTAAAAGTCATCAAAGATCAATCATTTCATGTTTGAAAAAACTTAAGCAGTTATTAGAATATAAATTTAAATACTACTTCCGTCGAGATCATATTTATTTTTTGTGTATTAATTTTTAAATATTAATTATTTTATCAAAATATAGTACAAATAAAAAGAAAATAACAAAAAATACTTATATTAGTATTTTATAATACTAATAGAAAAATATTTATATAAAAGAAAATTATACAAATATAAAAATATTTTTAATATTAAATTCAATGACACAAAAGATAAATATAACCCTTATAAGCGGACAAATAAAGTTTATAAATAAATAAATATATATATATATAATATTTTGTATGGAAAATGTTCATATAAATATTTACACAAAAAGAATATCTATTTTTTAGTAATATAGTAATGAATTATATATAAAAATTTATACGTTTTTTATCCTTGAAGTAATTAAGTGGCAGCCTGGCAGGTGCTGTCATTTTCTTTTTTAAAAAAGAAGAGAAAATATTGTGTTTGTTTTGTATTTTAGTTTGAAGAAAGTTTTTTGGCGTAAATCATAAAAAATTGTGTAAATAATATAAAAATAATAAGTGTATAATATATTAATTTTTTTAAAAAAAAATTGTTGGAAATTTTTTTAAAAACAAACAAATAGATTTGATTGTTGATTGGATTTGAATTAGCACTATGTTTTCAAAAAATATATATATATATTTTTAATATTACATTATATAAAATTCACTCAATTTTTTTTAATGAAATTAATTGAATTAATCATATACTCCCTCCGTCCACAAACTAATGTCCTACTTTCTTATTTGGGATGTCCAACAACTATTGTCCTATTTCCTTTTTTTAAACACAAATTTTATATTTTTACCCTTTATTCATTTATTACTTTTAATCTCTATCATACACCTAAGGGCAAATTTGTCCATTCATAATAAAAAGACAATTAGCTAAGTATATCTTATCCATTTATATTATATGAAATTTTATTATTAAAAAATTATATTGAGATATATATGTAAAAACGCTTAAAATACATATAATTTTCTTTTAGATTTTATTTATAATATAAATAAAATATTAATTAAATAAATATCAGTCAATTCAACTTCTACTTAACACTACAAGTAGATAATCAGAACAATTAATTAATTTATATCAATCAATAAACATTTACAAAAAGAAAATACAAACATGTGATATACTATTAAAGTGATAACAAACCAATTATATCCAAATCAAAATTAATATTATGTAATATTCATTCTTATTGTTTATAATAAAAATATATTATTTTGTTTCATAAGATATATTTTCTCGGTCTCATCTTATTTTTTTGCAGATTGAAAAATTTAAATAAAATGTAATTGGTAAATACTTAAAAGTATATTAATAAAAATAATTATTATACAATATAAATAAATATAGATTAAAATTAAGATAACTAATTAAGAGTGTGTTCAGTTGTGGGATTCTATCCCAAAATTTATTATTCATCAGATTTTTTTTAAAAAAATATCAAATCAAACACTTATTTTTTATTTTTTATATTATATTAAAAATTAATTTTATATTGAAAATATAACATCTAACATGTTTATATCACGTCATACCACTATTTCAATCAAAATTTTTACTGTTCAAATCTCAATTCAAAATCCAAACATCCAAACAAACACACCCAAAAGTTAATTAAATTATAAAATTATTAATTATAAAATTTAAAATATAATTAAAAGGTATAATATTTTTATAAAAAAATAAATTATAGGTGACAAATGAAACTAAAAACATCGGACATATAAAATGAGACGAAGAAAATAATCTCAAATTACTATTTAAACTAAAATCAAATATAAAATTTGTTGAGATATTTTAGATTTAGATTTAGATTTAGTTTAATATTTGTATATATTGATTTTGATTGGTTTGTTTCAGATTTGGTAGATTTAGATTACCATTTGATTTTATCCATATTGGATTATTTTATTTAGAGTCTATCGAGTCTGTTTTATAATCTCTATAGACCCGTATTTTATTGATCAATAATAGTTTTCATAAAATATTTTAATATGATATCAGAATCTATTTTTTTCATGGACTAAACATAGCCTACCAACCATCGTTTATCCGAGTACATTCAACTGGGATTGTACCCGAGGTCTTTTGATTTTGAAATTATGCATTTGCAAGTACGTCTCTTTGCAAAAATGTCTCTGAAATCAATCTGCGATGCTACCTGTCATATGTCTGTTGCTTGCGTGCGATCTGTATCTATGTATGTGTTGGTGTGTGCTGTCTGCTTAGCTGTGAGCAATCTGTTTGTCTGCATAGCTGTGAGCGGTCTGTTTGTCTACTTATCAGTGATTTGTTTATTTGTATAGCTTTGAACGATCTGCTTATCAGTAATCCGTTTGTCTGCTTATCAGTAATCTGTTTGTCTGTATGTATCAGTCATTTGTCTGCTATCAATTATTTATCTGTATATCTGCAATCTATCCGGTGTCTGCGATCAACTCGGACTCCGTCTGTGTATCGGTTTGAAATCTATCTATGTTTGACTCTAATATCAATTTGAGCCCTATGATTCTGATTCTGATTATGTCTGCTTCCGACTTTATTCTTTTCAAGCAAACTAAAGTTAGTTTCTACAACACTACTTGAGTTTGAGAAGTGATGTTAGAGATATTTAGATTTAGATTTAGTTTAATATTTGTTTAGATTGGTTTAGATTGATTTATTTTAGATTTTGTAGGTTTAAATTACGATTTGATATTATCCATAGATTGTATTATTGTGTTTAGAGTCTATAAAGTCTGTTTTATTGTGGCCCATTTTGATGCTCAATAACAATACAATTTTTTCAATTTTCATAAAATATTTTAACAAAATTTAAATTCAATTAGGCTCCACATACGTCAATTCTATCAGTATTTCGCTTATTTTTGCACATCCTTACAGTCGAAAATCATTTTCCACATGTTCAAAGTGTAGCTAATAATTTATATATAGGTTAACGATTTTTAATAAATAAATAGTATTATAAAATAAATAAATCATTGTACACAATTTTCCTATAAAAGCTGAGTTGTTGGAGATTCAAGAGACATCAAAATCCAACAATAAACACTATATGTTATCATAACTATTTCAAATATAATATGGAAATTAGCAAACCCTATAGCCAAAATTTCCCTCAACTTTCATGTTTGTTATCTTTAGCTTTAGCCATAATCTTTTACAAATGTCGATTAATCTTCAAGAAGAAGAGATCTAGATCTCTTCTTCTTCCTCTTCCGCCGGGGCCGACAGGTTTTCCGATCATCGGTTGCCTTCCAACGATGGTCAAGAATAACATACCGACATTTCAATGGATGCACAAATTCATGCGAAAAATGCGAACTGAAATCGCTTGTTTCCATCTCGGAAACACCTATTTCATCGCGGTTACATCCCCCGAGCTAGCTTGCGAGTTCTTGAAAAAGTATGACACAATTTTTGCGTCACGGCCTAAGGCGATTTCTTCGCGAGTGTTCAACAAAGACCGCATATCAACAATCTTTGCGCCGATAGGCAACCAATGGAAGAAAATGAGGAAGGTTCTTGTAACAGAAGTGCTCTCATCTTCGATGCACAAAAAGTTCCACGACAAAAGGCGCGTCGAAGCAGATAGGTTAGTATGGTATGTTCATAGCCAATGCCATATCAATCATGGGATTGTCGATGTAAGATCCGTAGGCCAACATTATTGCGCCGGTGTCATCAAGAGGTATATTTTCAATAAAAGATCTTTCGGGAAGGAAGAGAAAGACGGAAGCCCTGCAATCGAAGATGTAGAACACATTGAGGCAACCTACACACTCTTATCACATCTCTATGGCTTTGCAATTGGTGATCTTTGTCCATGGTTAGAGGTGTTCGATTTCGATGGCCATAAGAAGATTATGACAGATGCTTTTGCTGTTTTCGACAAATATCACGGCCGTGAAATTTGTCAAAGAGTCGAAATGTGGAAGAAAGGGATCGCAAGTAGTGAAGAGGATATCATCGACGTATTGATCAACCTCAAGGACTCTGAAAACAATCCCTTGTTGACAATACAAGAGATCAAAGCACACATTGATGTAAGTATATATTGCAAGTAGAGCTAGCAATTGTCGGGTTGAGTTGAGTTTTTAAACGGGTCAAACTATCCAATCCTAACCTAACCCATTTACATAGGCCTTGTTTGGATTAACTTTTGGTGGTGGCTTTTGATTTATACTTCTAAAAAAAGAATTTTATACTTGTTTGCATGGGCTTTATTGCTGAAAAATATTTTTTTTAAAATATTTGGAAGTAGCTTATGAAATAAATAGAATCATTTTCATTTAAAATTACTATTTTATTCTTAGTAATAATAATAATAACAACAGTAATAATAATAATAAAGTTCTATAATATAATATAAAAATAATTAATTTATTATATTTTAAGAAAATAATAATAATATAATAGTATTTATATTTAATTTATACATTATATTTGAATTAAAATTTAAAATTTTAATTGAGATATCACATTTAAAAATTTAATATTTTTTATTAAACTAAAATTATTAAATATACTTTATAAAAAAATTAAAATAAATTGTAAAATAACAAACAATTTAATATTGTATTGTAATTTTATTTTTAATTTATTTATTATTCTTGAATTTTAATTTTAAAATATAAATAATCAAATTTTTTAAAAAAAGATATTTTTTATACTATAATTTAAACTATTTAAATAATTAATAAAATTTAAAAATAAATTATAAAAGTTTTAAAAAAATTACAATTATTTTAACAATATATAAAGTTTAAAACACTTACGAATCCATTACATCCGAACAATATTTTTCAAAAAAGTACTTTTATAAAAATTTATCCAAACCTTCTACTTTTCGGCTTTCTTTTTAGCCCATCCAAACAGGCCTTTAAAGGCACCCGAGACCCGACCTGCTCAAAATTGCTCAACCCGAAAATGACCCATTAATTCGTTTAATAATTTTTAAACGGGTTTGGTGACCCGAAGCCGACTCAACTAACACAAAATCGACCCATTTACCCATTAAAAAAATAAATTAATATTTTACAAATCAAACTATAATCAAATAATCAATACTAAAAACTAGTTGTTTTGGTTTTTAGTAATAAAATTTTGAATTGAAATAGTTGTTTGATGTTGTATAAATATATATTGATGTGATGATTTGAATGCAAATTTAATTTTAGTATAGTATAGTAAATAAAAAATATGTGTTTGATTTGATATTTTTGGGAGAAAAAAAAAAAAACAGTTAAAATAGTAAAACCGAAAATTAGATTCCACAATTAAACACACCTATGTCAATAAAACATATCCATATATAAATACACAATAAATAGTAAAAATTATTAAACATAATATATTTAGATTGTGTTCCCTTCGAATAAATTATTAAATAAAAATTATTTTACATACATAATAAATATATTAATTAATATTAATATATTATAAACAAGTTGTCATATCGGGTTTGGGTTAAGGTGTCAATCCTAACCTGACTCGTTTATTATCATATCGAGTTTGTGTCAACTCATATATATATAATAGGGTCGAAATTCTCGAACTAAATCCAATTATTTCATGTTTGATTCCTATGAGCTTATTGTTAGTTTTTGTCAGCTCCAATTTTGCAAATGATTACTTGAAGTTTTGAAAAATTTTGAGAATAGTAATTGATATAATGTTTTGTGAGATTAAAGTATACCTTATGCTGACAATTTTTGAAAAAATTACGAAAAATTCCAATGGTGGTGAAATTGCAGGATATAATGTTAGCGACGATCGATAATCCATCAAATGCGGCAGAGTGGAGTCTTGCGGAGATGATCAATCAACCAAAAATCTTCGACAAGGCGCGCCAAGAGCTAGACCACGTAGTCGGTATGGATAGGCTTGTCGAAGAATCGGATCTCCCTAACCTCAACTACATCAAAGCATGTGCAAAAGAGTCATTGAGGCTACACCCTATGGCCCCTTTCAACGTTCCACACGAATCATCCAAGGATGTCGTCGTGGGAGGCTATTTTATCCCGAAAGGCAGCCAAGTTCTGATTAGCCGTCGTGGAGTTGGACACAACCCGAGAGCTTGGGAAGAACCACTCAAGTACAAGCCGGAGCGCCACATCAGCGGCGACGAGGACACTGGGGAGGTCATGCTCTACGACCATGACCTACGGATGTTGTCGTTTAGTACAGGCCGGCGCGGCTGTCCTGGGATCATGCTTGGGACTACTTTAACAACTATGCTTCTGGCAAGGCTTATCCAGGGGTTCGACTGGAAGGCGCCGGGAATTGATTTAGGGTCGCCGGAGGACGATAATTTTCTAATGAAGAAGCCACTTGTTGCTCATGCGACGCCGAGGTTAGAACCTCATGTTTATCTGTAGCTCCAGAAAAGTGTCTGAGATTCTTATTGTAGAATTAGTTGTGTATAATGTACTATGTCTTTTTTTTTTCGACAATAGTGTTGTGTTTAATTTATGTGACTGTAGCGTGGAATAATAACATCGTGTCGATGGGTTTGGGTAGTCGTCTATTGCACACATTTTTCATATGTATCAACTACGGAATATCGATGTTTATTGGAAGAATCGATTGAGGATGAACAGTAAGAGATTTTATATCTCTTGAAAGGAAGGGGATCCTCGACCCTCCTTGCTGCCAGCCCCCGTGTCCCCTCGAATACAATAGGCGGGCAAGCATGTTGAAATCTTCTTAAGGGTAGATCTGCATAGACCTAATGATTGACATCAAAATTATCACATAGTAGATTCACGTTCAAACTTGAAGGATGAAATTGGAATTTGACCGTGAGAAACCAAGTTTTCATACAATAGTGTGTTATTGATGGTACGGGATCCTCAGTCCCACCTAATACATTATGTCTATGTATATAATGTGTATATATAATATGCAGGGGGTCTCGAACTTTTTTTAGGCCTGAGCGAAAATAAATTATAAGCCCTATAAATAAATGATTAAAATGTATTTTTAATAATATTACTGATTGACGTTGATTGAACAAGATGTTGAATGACCGTTTGGACAATGTCAATTTGAGAAAAGAAGATGAAAGACGGTCTGTCTAAAAGTTCGAAAAGCAAGAAGGACCGAAGAAGGGTGAAAGATATAACAGAAAATGTGAGGTTTGATAGAGTTGCTGGGGGCAATACTATAGAGTGTAAGACAAAGAAATGTAGACATTAGAAATAAATAATTTTTTTTTTTTATATATGATTAGAAATTTAAATTTAATTTTAAAATTAAATTGGATAATTATCAAAAATGAAAAAAATATATATAAATTAAAAGTTAAAATTTAATTTTAAAATTTAATAATAATAATAATAGATAATATTTAAAATATAGATCCTATTGATTAAGGGTCCTAAGCAGTTGCTCACCCTGTTCCTGCTGTGAGCCACCCCTGATAATATGTATGTATATACATATAGGTTATGAGTCGGGTTAAGCCTATATTAAATGATCTATTAGTTTATTGAATTAAATATATTTAGTGGACCTCCTATGTGCAGAAACATGTAGGGTGTGTTTGTTTGGGGGTTTGAATTTTGAGTTGGGATTTGAATAGTAAAAATTTTGAATTTAAATAGTTGTATGATGCGATATAAATAGGGTTTGATGTGATGTTTTGAATGTAAAATTGATTTTTAGTATAATATAAAAAATAAAAAATAGGTGTTTGATTTGATGTTTTTGGGGGGAAAAAATTGGATGAATAGTGAAAATCCACCAAAATCCTTCAAACAAACACACCCGTAACTTATTAATCGGGTGTGAAGCCAATTAATAATAAGAGAGAGTTGTGATCTTAGATCTAGGCGCAACGTCCATTACTTTTTATATCTGATCGTGAAAGTAACGGCAGAAACCCAGAGGTTTTCTCAGGCGTTGGGCTATAGATTTGAAGAACACAACCCTCCATTGATTTATAAATCCGAATCCGTTTGCGCTAATGGAGTTAGGTCATATTTATTTGCTTTATTTTTATTTCAATTACTTCAACTCGACGGATCATAGGATTAGGGTTAAATTTCTAATAAATTCCAACAGAACTAAGTGAGACTGATGCTGAGGATCCCATGCGATTATTGATGGTCCTTATCTTCAAAAAATCAACCCACACCTTGACATTTGACAGAAAAATGATTGCTTAAACTTATCAAGGGAATCTTCTATATATATATATATATATATAGAGTGAAAATATATATATATATATACATAGATAAGAAATTTTTGTGAGGCAAGCCGTGCATCTAAAGTAGAATCGGCGGACGAATTACATATACAATTAATTTATATATCAGCTAGAGTTCTCACTTGGCAATTAAGATGGAGGCTAGGGTGATTGCCCGAAGAAGACGATCAAAGATAAGAATGTGAAGGACCAAGGTTGAGGTCTCATAATTGTCTTTTGAGGGGAGATTTGAGTTGCATGTTTGGGATAATGGTACCACGTAGGATTTGATTTTCGATTTTATTATTCCAATATTTTTTTTTATAAAAAATATCTGATCAAATACCTAATTTTTATTTATTATATTATACTAAAATTATTTTTTATATTCAAAACATCGATACATATTTATATCATATTTTATCGTTTTATTGTGCTTTGATTATGGTGCTTATCTTTGGGTGGATTTAATTCTATAGATAATGGTGGAGCTAGAAAATTTTTTGGAGGGGACTGGAAATTTTTTTAATATATGCCTCTAAGAGGATTTCAATCACTTAGCAGGTACGTCTCGACCGTTTTATTGTTTGTTAGTTCTGTGTTGGTAATTTGTTCAACCAATGAATTACACATGGAAATTCACAATAGCTACAAGCTAAGGCAAGTCATATTAGGTGAACGATATGTGTGGCAGATAAGACCTGGACGGATCGAGGGTTTGAAACCCATTACCTCACGGTCACGAGTCTACGCACACACTACTAGACCAGGAGACGTCGGAGATGTGAACACAATTTAAATTTTTTTCATTTTATGCCATATATATATATATATATATTTTAGATTTTAGATAATTTGACCACCCTATTAATTTGATAATTTTTGTTATAATAAATATCAAATTTAATTTTCCAAAAATAATTATTTTTAACCTAAAACGAAAAAGACAAACTAAAAATTTATATATTATATATATTTTTAATTATATTATATACTTTTAAAATATATATTATATCTTAATTAAGAAAATTAAACCTCGCAAGAAAAACAAAAAAAATCCTTGACTCCGCCAATGGACAGATCGCCACATAGGTTTCATTAACCTATTCACTTACTGTTGAAATATTTTAGATATTTAGATTGGTCTTATATGTTTTGGGCTGTTTAGGTTGTTTAGGTTTGAGTTAATTGAGTATGTTTTATGATGTTTGATGATCAATATAATGCAATTTTTAATTTTTATAAAATATTTTTATAGAGTATCAGAGTTTACTTTTCTCATGAAATAGATACAATATACTAACTTGTGTTTCTCCGGATACATTCAACCTACAAAATATCGGGTACATTCAACCTAGAAAGTATCTGGGTACATTCAACTTGGAATGTACCCGGAGATCTTCAATTTTGATATTTTTATTTGTGATTTTATGGCGTCAACGGAAGTCTTTTGCCAAGTTTATTTTTTTTGCAATTTTGCGTTCGAGTTCGGACTTTGATAATTTGTTGTGGTACAAAGCGCTGCTTCTGATTGCATTATATTGAGAGTCCCGTCATTTTCCGACTCCAATGAAAATTCCGTTGTTTTCGACTCCGGTGAGAGTCCTGTTGTTTCTGACTCTGATAAGAGTCCCGTTTCCGACTCCAATAAGTGTCCTATTTTCGACTCCGGTGAGAGCCTATTTTCGACTCTAATTCAGTTTAGGGCATTGCTTATGATTCTTGCATGATAGATGATTGTGGCTGCGTCATTTTCGATTTTTCTTTGCAAACTCAAATTGACTTATGTTATACGACTTGAGTTTGAGAGGATGGTGAGATACTTTAATATTTCATTTTAAATTTAGTGGATTTAGATCTAGATTTTGTCTTATCAATTGTTTAGATTGTTTAGATTTCAGTCTATCGAATTTGTTTTTCGATAAATATATGCCATTTATTTTAATGATCAATATAATAGAGTTTTTCAATTCTTACAAAATATTTTTACACAACTAAAGCAATCATATTTTCCCATTTCCTATATCTACCGGAGATTCTACTCTTGCCTTCTTCACCAATGCTTTTTTATTGTGGTGCCGCGTCGAAAAGTTTCTAAACATTTTGCCTTTGGGAATTATATGGGACTATTGGAGTACCGATGCCCGTAGCTCGTTCTGCCGTGAAATAGTTCCCCCGACTCGGATAATTCTTTGTTATTCTTCCAGTTTTAATTTTTTGATATTATCATGCTTTATTTTTTAATCTTGATGTTTTGTAAATTTTTTTTATATGCCTATGTTGATTTTAAATTAACCAAAATAGACCTTAAAGTCACAAAGACTTTAAATTTTCACTGTGTGATGCAAAACGTGAATGTTGTGTTACCTTTTTAGTTAACTTATTCAAAGATTTTATTTGTCCACACGAAAAATTGATTTGAACGGGTATATAAATATATATGTATATATATATATATATATATATCAATCTACAAGATTATTGTAGAAAAATAAATAAATTATTAAGACAGTACAACCCAGTTTTGTCATGATTCTTGCCGATGGCAAGTGTCGTAGAAGAAAAAATTACTTAATAGTTAGGATTCGAAGTACGGACTTATTAGTTACGATTTTGGAGAGTTTCTACTATTTATATAAATTTTTTTCCCAAAAAATATAAAATCAAAATTCTTATTTTTTATTTTTTATATTATGCTAAAAAATCAATTTTACGTTAAAAAAAATACTTATTTATATCACATCATACAACTATTATGATTGATTAATTTTTTATTGTTCTAATCCCAACTAAAAATACAAACCCTCAAACAAACACACCCATTTTTTAATTTCATTAAAATTTTCAGTTAATTCCATTACTACTTGCCTTCATCCATGCATAATAGCTTCACCCTTAGGCCAGGTGTGTTGGCAAAAACTTTGAATCGAACTGTCGAACTGCTAAACTGAATTTAGTCGAATCAAATTTTTGATTAATCAAGACAATTCGATTCAAATATAAATATATTGGATATTTGTGGTTTAGTTTCGGTTTTTAATATTTTTTCGGTTAATCAAACTAAACTGAATATATTTATATTATTATATTTTAAAATTAATATTAATAAGTATATTCTATTATTCTTCGGTTTGGTTTGGTTTAGAATTTTTCAAATATCTTTATTTAATTAGACTTTTAGTTATTTTTAATGTATATATACTTTTGTATTTGGTTTTGTTAGAATATAAATACATTTGATATTTGTGGTTCAGTTTCGATTTTAATATTTTTTTCGATTAATCGAACTAAACTGAATATATTTATATTATTATATTTTAAAATTAATACTAATAAGTATATTATATTATATTCGGTTCGATTTGAATTATTTGCAATTTATATACCGCAAATATTTCGGTTAAATTTTTGGCTCAAATAAAATTCACAGTTTCGAGTATTTCTTCCGTTCAATTTGAATACCTAATATGTGTATATTTACAAATAAATGAACGGTGTCCACCTCCATGGACGACCTAGTACAGGCCTAGGGAGGGCGGTTGGACCCTCAGCCCCCAAAATCTATTGTTTTTTTTTAGTAACAAAAATAATAAAATTATATATTTTTTTATTAATTTTGTCTCTTTAATCTTTTATTTTATAGTGTAAAAAATATATTTATATATTTTTTTGTTGATTTACACTTTTAGTCTTTAAATTTATTATTTTTTAGTAAAAAATATTAAATTTTATGTAATTTTGTTAAATTGTTTTCTAAAAAATTTAATTTTTTCCAATTTTTTTTCTTTTTTCTTTATGTGACTATGTCGGGGGAATTGAAAAAGACAACATTGAATCAATAAAATAAAATAAAAAAATCTATATTTTGGCCCCCCCGGAGTTCTATGGCTCGTTCCCACCTCTAACCCTTAGACCTTCACATTCGTAAGTTAACTCCATTAGTACTTCACTTTACATGACAAAAACGATCTCCCATAGGCCCGCAAAGGGTAGCCGAGTTCAAAACGCATCACCGTCCTCTTAATTTTGCTTGTCATGTGCTTGTTTAGGGGTTTGGATTTTGAGTTGAGATTTGAATAGAAAAAATTTTGAATTAAAATAATTTTATGATTGATATAAGTATAATATAAAAAATAAAAAATAAATATTTGATTTGATATTTGAAACTAAAAAATCTGCTGAACGAAACTTATCATGCTGGCGTAGTTTGCAAGTAAGTTTCCACCTTTATACACATTTGAAACATGTGTACAGTGGATTCTCGTATCATAAAAATATAAAAAAAAAAATAATATTTTTAATGGTATAAATATTTGTTGGGAAAACATGCGTCAATAAAATAATATATTTTATTTATTTCTACAATTAAAATTGTTCCCTTTGTCTCTTTAAAAGCCGAGTTCAAGGAGATCGAGATACATTCAAATCGAAAATTATACAAAATATAAACACTATCATCACCGTAACCATACCCATTTCAAGATATGGAATGCCAAACATATCCACAATTTTTCTCTCAACTTTATTGCTTGCTAGCTTTAGCTTTAGCCATAAAAATCTCTTACAAATGGCGAATCCTCATGAACAATAAATCTCGATCTCTTCCTCCTCCTCTTCCTCCGGGCCCAACGGGTTTTCCAATCATCGGTTGCCTTCCAACCATGGTCAAGAATAATATTCCGACCTTTAAATGGATGCACCAATTCATGGAAAATATACACACCGAAATAGCTTGTTTCCGTCTTGGAAACATCTATTTCATCACGGTTACATCCCCCGAGCTAGCTTGCGAGTTCTTGAAAAAGCACGACGCAATTTTCGCCTCAAGACCTAAGGTGATGTCTTCGGGATTGTTCAACAAGGGCTACACATCAACAATCTTTTCGCCATTAGGCAACCAATGGAAGAAGATGAAGAAGGTTCTTGTAACAGAAGTGCTCTCTTCTTCGATGCACAAAAAGTTCCACGACAAAAGATGCGAAGAAGCTGATAGATTAGTATGGTATGTTCATAGACAATGCTCGAATGAACTCAATGATGGGATTGTCGATGTAAGATCCATAGCCCAACATTATTGCGCCCGTGTCATCAAGAGATATATTTTCAATAAGAGGTCTTTTGGAAAGGAAAAGAAAGATGGAAGCCCGGCAATCGAAGATGTAGAACACATGGAGGCAATCTTCACAGTCTTATTTCATCTCTATGGATTTTCAATTGCTGATTTCTGTCCATGGTTAGAGGTGTTCGATTTCGATGGCCATAAGAAGATTATGACAGATGCAATTGCCGTTTTGAACAAATATCAAGACCCTGAAATTAATCGAAGAGTCGAAATGTGGAAGAAAGGGATTGCAAGTAATGAAGAGGATATCATCGACGTAATGATCAACCTCAAGGACTCCGAAAACAATCCCTTGTTGACAATTCAGGAGATCAAAGCAAACATTAATGTAAGTATTTTATTATTTCAGCTGACACTCAGCGAATACGTGAATTTGAATTTTTTCTTAATTTTTAAAATTTTTAATTTTCAAATTTTTTTTTGAAACTTTTTAATTTTTACAAAAAAGATAAATTAAATAAAATAAGTTTTTTAAAAAAAATTAAAAAAAATCCACGTGTCCGTCCAGTGTCCATGACCTGGAGGACATGCGTCCTCCAATGAGTCACGCAGGTGCCATGTAGACATCTTTGGTGCTGGAGGACTAAAAATGCGATTTTTTTTTTACTTATGGAATTAATTTACGACAAACTTCAGTTACAGGACTAAAATTATAAAATGTCTAATTACGAAAAAAAAAAAAATTACTCTGTAAAAACTATGAATAGCTTATTGGAAAAACAAACTCAAGTTCCATGTGAAAAAAAAAAAAAAAAAAAGAGAAAAACCTTAGTTATAAACTATATAACTCTTCAAAGTAGAAGTCTTTTAGGAAAGTTAAAAAATAAATCTGCACAATGTTATTATAAAATAGACAATATCATACTATTATGAGTTATATCAATCTTTGAATGGTCCCATATAATATAATTTATTTTTTATTAAAAAAAATAAATTGAAAGCATAGTATCAACTTTGACGGACAAGCCAACTAAACACACCCTTAATCATGATAAGCATTTTCTAGATAAGAAAGATTCAAAACTTAAAAAATAATGAATCCATTAATTGTTCTATGATATGAATCACTATTCATTCGAAGATATTTAATTATCGATGGTGAAATTACAGGATTTAATGATAGCTACGATCGATAATCCATCAAATGCCGTCGAGTGGAGTATTGCGGAGATGATCAATCAACCAAAAATCTTCGACAAGGCACGCCAAGAGCTGGATCGCGTAGTCGGTAGGGATAGACTTGTCGAAGAATCGGATCTCCCTAAGCTCAACTACATCAAAGCATGTGCTAAAGAGTCATTCCGGTTGCACCCTATAGCCCATTTCAATCTTCCTCACGAATCATCGAAGGATGTTGTCATTGGAGGCTATTTTATCCCGAAAGGCAGCCAAGTGTTACTTAGCCGTCGTGGCCTTGGGCGCAACCCTAGAGTTTGGGAAGAACCACTCAAGTACAAACCGGAGCGCCACATCACCGGAAATGGGGACACCGGCGAGGTCATGCTCCCCGACCATGAATTAAGGATGTTGTCGTTTAGTACAGGTCGGCGTGGCTGTCCTGGGATCATGCTTGGCTCTACTTTAACAACCATGCTTCTGGCCAGGCTTATCCAAGGGTTCCATTGGAAGGCGCCACCAAATGGGCCGGCAACAATCGATTTAGGCTTGCCGGAGGATGATAATTCTCTAATGAAGAAGCCACTTCTTGCTCATGCGACGCCGAGGTTACAACCACAAGTTTATCTGCAGCACTATTCGTGATTTTGTGTGGTTGTTTGGAAGTTTGAATTTGGGGATTTGGATTTTGAATTTCGAATTGGAATAGTTGTTTAGTACGATATAGTGTTGATTTAAGATTTCAAATATAAAATTAATTTTTATTATAATATAAAATATTTAGTGTGATATGGAGTTGATTCGTTATTTCAAATGTAACATATTAAATAAATTAAATTTTATTTATATTTTTAGGAAATTTTTTGGAGGATTAGTATTTTTTTTTTGTTCTTAATTAATAATAGAACATTTTTTTTTTTTTTTATGTGTTCTGGGATCTATAAAACTCGAGAACCCGCTCTGTTTGGGATCTCTAAATTAAGTGAATGTGTGGGGGGTCCTATATGCATGCATTTTGCAGATTATCACCTATATATATATATATATATATGGAAATATCAATGTTTTAAGTTATGTTAATTAAATTGTAGATTAAATTATGTTAATTAAATTGTGGAAATGATAGGGATGGTGAGTGAGAGTGACTAATTAGAAAAAAATACGAGTGGCAATTCGATTCAGCTCGATTTTTTTTTTTTTTTTTTTTTCGTGCACGCAAAAAGAATACTAGATTAATTGAGCTATACTTGGGGTGTGTTTCTTTTGACGGGTTCGGGGATTCTTACTATTCAGTTACTGTTTGGTTATTTTAATTGACATATTTTTTATTTTTTGTTTGCCTCACTTTAATTGATTTTCTTTTTATTTTGGATAAAATTTATTAAATCAAAACATTGTTAACAAATATAATATAGATCAACTTAATTCATGATATATCATATAACATCATATATAATGTAGAATCCTATCAAAAATCCTTTATTTTTATATTTCTCAAAAATAATATATATATATATATTTTCATCTACATTTAACTCTACATCTTTAATAAAATTAATTTATGTTAATTATAAATAAATAAAAAAATTTTTATTTATTTGTATTATATGAAATTTTATTCTCTATAAAATAATATTCATATTACATATATCTTTTATTGCGATATAATTTTTAAAATTTTTAAATACATATTATAAATTTTTTTAATCATAGATATTAAATTCAATTTAAAACAACCAATATTATCAATTTCATAAAAATAATGATAATAATAATAATATCATAATTCACTATTATTAACTAATTAAACACCATTATTTAAATATTGTATCACTCATAAAATAGGTCAATTGTTCCGAAACAGATGGAATATATGATAAATTAATATTCAAATCAAACTATTATCAATTTTATAAAGTTAATAAAATATATGTTCACATTATTATAATAACAAAAACTCCAAAACTATATATCTTACTTATATTATTATATACTTATTAATATATTCTAAATTTTTTAACAAACCAGCGCATGGCCTGGTTTTTCAATTGGGCCGGCCCGCCCGGCCTAGACAAAGTTATTTCATACCTAAAGTTAAAGCCCAAATTTTTATTTATTTATTTATTTATTTTTGGCGGTCTTCTGATCTAATTTTTAAACCGGACTATTTTTTTTAATGATATAAAAACTCGCAGCCGTTATTCGAAATGCACACTGAATAAATCTTTGGTCCGAACCTACGTACGTATCTTTGCTGCCATATGAAAAGGAGATGAAGTAAATAATGTGTGGTACTATTTATATTAGGAGGATGCATCATGTGTTGCTTTAAATTCAGCACATGTGCTAATGCTCGTATTAACCATCTAATGGCATGATATGATTAGTTATTAATCATGTAATTAAAAAAAAAAATTGCACCTAACCCATCGTATTATACTCCCTCCGTCCCATATAATATGGGTGTGTTACTGTAGACCCGAGAATTTAGGTAAAGTATGATTAGTAAGTAATTAAGAAGTGTATTAGTAAAAATAATTATTGTATATTAAAAATAATTATATATTAAGATTAAGATAACTAAATAGTTTAATTAAGATTAAAAAATTATAAAATTTCAAATGTGATTAAAATGTACAATTATATTTCTAAAAAAAAAAAAGAAAAAATTATATCGAATAGACAAATATAAAAAATAGAGACAAATTATATGGGACGGAGGGAGTATTATAGTAAGATATGGAGGATGTCCAGTGGACATAGAAATATATTAATCAATATAGTAAGACATGAAAATAGTATTACTTATCAGGATATAAGGTATAAATAAACAATATATATATATATAGTATTTCTTTCCTGTCTTAAATATGGTATAATATTTAGTTTTCGATATGAAAATTTAGATGAATAGTATTAAATAAAATAGTTTAAAAGTTAGATGGTGTGAAAATAAAAAAAGAGTATATATTTATATTTTTTATTTGATTGATGTATAAGATAACATATTTTGTGTATATTTACTAAGAATTAAGTATATTTAATTATTTATAATTCAAAAAATGGTACAAAGTGTTTGAAACAGACAAAATAATAAAAAAAATTATAAGATATTTAAAACAGTTGAAGTATATATTAATATAATAACAAAAGGCACTTCTTATCGAAAAAGTTATTTTCGCTAGAAGGAGGGCTTGAACCTCCGACCTTGTGGTTAACAGCCACACGCTCTAACCAACTGAGCTATTCCAGCTTTTTGTGTTAGCATTTAATTTTATGGTTATTTCTTAATGTTTTAAAATTGATTCGAAATGAAATATTTATTTTTAAGTTCTTGTTTAAATAATAGATGTCATATTTTGTGAAATAAAATTATAACTTCTATTGAGAATTATATGGGGTGAATGATGATGATTTCAAATTGAGATCACAACAAAACATACCCTAAATAATTATTAAATTCAAATTTTTTACTTTCAAGACTTAAAATCCAAACCTGTTTTTTAATCATCGTGAGCATTCTCTAGATAAGAGAGATTCAAAAGTTGACAATAATCCATCCATTAATTGTTTTATGATATGCATTTTCATTCATTCAAAGATATTTAATTATCGTCGATGAAATTGCAGGATTTAGTGGTAGCTACGGTTGATAATCCATCAAATGCAGCCGAGTGGAGTCTTGCGGAGATGATCAATCAGCCAAAAATCTTCGACAAGGCGCGCGAAGAGCTGGACCACGTTGTTGGTTGGCAGGAGCGGCTCTCAGCGGGAACAGGGTGAGCAATGCTCAGGGCCCTAATCAAATTCAATTGTCGTCTATACTTCTCTACTTCACACTTTATCGCACTACACCCCCACCCATTCACACCAAACTCGTTTCACCTTCTCTCTTCTCTCTTTCACTCTCCCTCGGTCCTTTTTGCTTTTTGAACCACCGAATAGTCCGTCTTTTATCTTCTTCTTTTTTTCAAATCGACACTGCCCAGATTGTCATGTTCAACATCTTGTGCAATCGACGCCAATCAATATTGATATTACTTTAAAAATACATTTTAATCGTATGTTTATAAAGTCTATAATTTATTTTTGCTCACGACTCCAAAAAAGTCCGAAACGGCCCTGTTGGTAGAGATAGGCTTGTCAAAGAATCGGATCTCCCTAAGCTCAACTACATCAAAGCATGTGCTAAAGAGTCATTGAGGCTACACCCCATAGCTCCTTTCAATGTTCTAGACAAATCATCGAAGGATCTTGTCGTGGGAGGCTATTTTATCCCCAAAGGCAGCCAAGTATTGCTAAGTCACCATGGCCTCGGGCACAATCTTAGAGTTTGGGAAGAAAAACTAAAGTACAAACTGGAGCGCCACATCAACGGTGATCAGGACACTGATGAACAGTGGCGGAGCTAGTAGGGAAGTCGAAGGGTGTTCGGCCCTCCTAATTGTTTAAATTTTGTATTTTGATTATGCAATATTTGTATAATTTTTAAAGTTAAGTAATTGGTCAACCCTATAGATTTAATAAAAATATTATTACTATATTTTACCTCAAATATTTAAAGAAATTAGTTCAAGTACTCCAAATATTTAGAAATATTTGAAGAAAAAAATAAAAGATAAAACAAACTAAAAAACTTTTTGTAATTTTTAAAAAAATTTCATTATATTATATTATTTTGAAATTATTATATATTATTTATATATTAAAAAATTCACCCCCCTCCGAAAAAATTTTTTAGCTCCGCCACTGCCGATGAGGTGGTGCTCACCGACCATGGATCCCGGGTGTTTTCGTTTAGTACAGGTCGGCGCGGCTGTCCAGGGATCAAGCTAGGGTCTACTTTAATTACCATGCTTCTGGCCAGACTTATCCAGGGATTCTACTGAACTGCCCCGCCAAACGGGTCGGAAACAATCGATTTAGGGGCGCCTGACAACGAAAATTCTCTAATGAAGAAACCACTACTTTCTCATGTGAAGCCGAGGTTAGAACCACAAGTTTATCTGCAGCTCCATTCATGAAATGTCCCATTTTTATTTATTTTTGGTATGTGTATGTGTGTTGTTAATATATGCAATTTGGCTAATTTTTTGCCTGTTTGTGCTTTTGCTTGGAATGAGACGAAATTTGTACCGATCATTCAAAACGATCCAATGAATCAAAATCATCGAACTTCTGGTGTGATTTCGACCATTTGAGGTCGTTTAGGGCATTAAAATGATTTTTTTTTTCTTATTTAGATTTATTTATTTCGGTCTATAGGGTTTTTTAACCTATAAATAATTAAATATTTAGTGAATTCGGTTTTTGTTTTATTAAGAAAATTACATTTGATCTTTGATCAGCAAATTTTATTTGCTCGGCTATCCAATTCGTGCAATCGACACTACATAAAAATAATATATTTGTAACGGAATTCCGTCCCTAAAGTTCACGTAGCTAACGTAATTCCATTACTAATTCCGTCTCTAATGTCATTAGTAACAGAAAAAGTAGATTTAGAGACAAAAAAAGTTTTGTTACAAAAATAATTTTTTCTTGTAGTGCGACATAGTCAATAATGGTTTTTCTTTTTTTTTTTTTTTTTTCTTTGCAAGTTCTTGGGCAAGGGTAACATATGACATATCGTATGTGTTGTTTGTTCTAGTGACCATTGTAATGAAGTGATTGTGTGGGTCGTGTACTGCATGCATTTTATAGATTATCAATGTTGTAAGTTATGTTAAAAATATTTTTTGTTCAATATTGGTTCCCACTCAATGTCTTTCTTGTACCATTTTATTTATTTTAAGGAAAGTTATAATTTGTTAAGAAACATGGAATCGGTTAATTAAATTATTGGAATGATAATGATGGTGACTGAATAATATTACATTTGATGCAATTAAAAAAAAAAAAAAAAAACCTTTGAACCTGTTTGTAACCAAAAATAAAATTTTCCGTGAGACTTCGGGCCTTCTTTGAGTATTGTTCGCCTGAAGATCAAACGATGTGATCAAGTCTTAGCAGTACTCTGTACTCCACAAAGTCGTCTATCTGTCATCGAATAAAATCATGTACTTTGGACGATTTTAACGATAGAGCCTCTAACCGATCGATTCTTAATATTAACAACCAGATCTATGGATCGTGAACGAAATCTAATGGAATTTGAGAAATAATGCTAAAATAAATCGAATTTAACAAGAGGCTTAAGTAAACTAACTGGAAAATCAAATTAATGGACAAAATACCAAAAAAAATTCAATTAAAAATTTTTCTATTTAATCTGCATAATCTTTAATAAAAATATATTATTTTTTGACAAAATATTATATCACGAATACAGTAATAATCTTGATTTGCTTATTAGTTCTAGGATCTCTAAGAAGTCAATCTATTTGTATTGAACTATTTGAACTAATTTGCTCTATTTCTTAGTACCAAAACATCTGCATACTTCCTTTGGTAAGTTGTCCCATCGCGGCACGTAAATACTATATAAACTAAAATTTAAATAAAATAAATAAATTTTAAACCAAATTAGACCAAACCCTTTAATTTTGAAATGTTTATCAATGAGTAGTCTAATGTTGAATAATTCTATAGTATGCATAATATAATTATTCGGTTTGGTTCCAAAGTAAGTTAGAAGGAATATGACCAAAACTAAAATGGGTTATGGATTTATATACTTGACCAAAACTCCTTATCATTTTAAGATCATAATTAAATTATGTATTAAATTAGTTTCACAATTAAATTTTTTTTGGCAAAAATGGTCGTCAGGTGCCCAAAGTTGATGACATGGCACCGTCGTGATACGCCGGAGATTGTGTGGGTGACATGGGAAAAGTATTTGATAATCATTTTAGGATCATAATTAGATCTTGTATTATATTAGGCTCATAACTAAAAAAATTTGGCATAAATGATGTTCAAATGTTGTCAACGTGTCACCCACTCAAACTCCGGCGTGCTATGACAGCAACTTCGGCGCCCGAGGACTATTTCTACCAAATTTTTTTAATTGCGGACTAATCCAATGTAGATTTTAGTTATGGTTCTGAAATAATAAGAAGAGTTATATACGAACGGGATTTTTGAAAAAATAGTTTTTCTTTTTGTATTGATAATTATATAGTATAATCTTTTTTATGAGATGGGAACCCGCAGAACTATTTTTCGAGTGCGCTCTGAATAAACTTTTAGTCGAATCTATTAACCTGCAAATTAGGCCATCAAGATAAGTCATACTAGTCGAATCATATCTTGCAAACAAAAATTGAATTATGTTTGCTTAGTTGATTAGTTGATAGTGTGTTTTTCGGTTTCAACTTTTTTTTTTTTTTTTTAGGTGTTTCATGAAAGTTTGTAATAATAATTTGGGTGTGTTTATTTTGATGATTTTGAGAAAAAAAAAAATATAATTTGATTTGATATGAAAATAATGTTTGATTAGATATTTTGTGAGAGAAAAAAAATATTTTTTTTTTCAAAAAATGCAAAATTTAAATAGTAAAATTTGGGGAAATTTTGTTAAAGAAACGTACCCATAATTATATTGTTGATTGTATTGAACAATGGCATGCTCTCTCCATGTGAATAGATTAAAATTTTAATTTAAATAATTCTATTAAGAATTAATTACTTTTTATCCCTAAAATTTTTTAAACCAAAAATTATAAAATAAAAAATTTAATATAAATCTAAATCAGAAACCAAAGAAATAAGAGTTCTTTTTTAAATGCATATTGGTGAACTTTTCTATATATTAATTCATTATTTATTTTCATGAATGAGAAATTCATTCAAATAAATTTCCATCAAACTCTATTCTGTATGCAATAGAGAAAAGTAGGAGAAAATATTTTAAACGTTTAGCAAAACCTCAATCAATCAATGGCTGATTGAGATAACATTTATTATCAACAATTATATTTTTCTTGATAGCCCTTGAGTCATCTTTCTTTATCCTCGTTGTGTCGATTATATTGTTAATTATATGGACTATCTTCGATCGGATTTGATTAATTCTTGTCAAAATACACTGTTTGTATTTTTAATTATATACTAGTTTGCAGGGTATTAGGTTCAGTCGGAGATTTATACGGTGCGCACTTTCGGGTAGCGAAAAAAAAAAAAAAGAGTGGTATACTATTTCATTTGTTATTATTATTTTTAAAATATAATATTCAATATTTGTTTTTATACCCAAAAATAACTATACACATATAAGGATGGCAATTGAAGGAAGTTCAACCTGACTCATTAGTAGCTGCGGAACCAGAACGGAAATAGAGAAGAGGCTAATTTTATTTATTTATTATTATTTTTTTTTAAAATTTGATATACCGAAAAATCGGTATGATATATGTATATTTTGATACCATACCAAAATTTTGGAACAATACTAGAGTTTAAAATATTAATTTTGGTATCAATATATTAAATTATTTATATATACAAATATACTGAAAATATCAAATTATATATTATTATTGTACTAAAAAACTTTAATATGATATTAGATCACACCAAAAATGTTAATATACTAAAGTTTTAGTATTTTTTAAAATAAAAATTTTTGGTAGATATAACTTTAAAATTTTAATATATTTTTAGTATATATAACTTTAGAATTATATAAATTATAATAAATAAAAAAAAAATAAGGGTGGGGTAGGGGGAGGAGACCCCTTTGGCCCATGTAGATAAGTCTGTGCTCATTACCGATGTGGGCGGGTTCAGATCTAAAAAACTATAAAGATACGGGTTCAAATCTAAAAAATTATAAAGATGCTTGCAACTTTTGAAAATTTAGACTCGGCTATACCGGAGGTGGATTATGTGTTTGAGAATTTTGTATAAATAGATAATTGTATTTTGATATTTTTAGATGAAATAATTATTCTGATGTGATTGTTTATATGAAAAATAAATATTTAATGTTATATTTTTGGAGAAAAATAAATAATAAAAAAAATATGTTATAAAACCCAAAAGGACAAACTCAATAATTTTTAAATGAATATGATATATATTTTCGTACAATAAATGATTTAGTAGTATGAGGTGAATTTGTGACGGTAAGATTCTAAGTGCAAACTAACTTAATAGGTTTGGTACGAATCGTTTGAAATCCTATTTCTATATTTCTCTAATCTTCTGAGGCGAATTTGTAGTAAATTTTTTAATTATATTTCATATTATTCGAAATCACTAATTTTCAATATTATCTTTTTTTAGTATTTTCTGTAGTATTTTTTAGCTAATCGGTTTGGCTTGATGCCCCTGGTAAAACGACGTTTTTGAATATGACATATGCTAGAAAAAGTTGTAAGAAATGATAAATACTTTGTCAATATTATATCAAAAAAAAAAAAATAAAATGTCGTTGTTTATTAAAATTATATGCAATTCATTTATTATAAAAAGTCTAACTATTCATAATTTTATTATTTTTATTTTAATTAATAATAATAAATTCACCATTATTTTTTCTATACAGTATATTATATTTTTATTATTTTTTTAATAAATTTCTTAAAATATCCACTTTACTTTTTACCAGTCCTACTCTTATATATTAAAATACGATTATTTATTAATTTTATGCTCAAACAAAAGAGCACACTTATCATTTTGTTAATTTTGTGGTCATTAATAAATCTCTTTAGAAGTTTATTTGTTGATAACTTCTAATTGAAATCCTTCAGACGTCCATTGTGATCAAAGTATAAACAACTATCGTTGTTTAAACAACATATTTTATAATGTTGGAGCTATTCACTTTCAAAAATGTCATATAAAATAAATTTTCTCTCATAAAATATAACATTAAATACTAATATTTTAATATTTTAAATTTTTAAAATTTCAAAATTCCCAAAACTGATATCTTATGTAATCGGATCCAGAGTCATTTGAACATTGAATGGCTAAAAAATGAGATGAAGGATGGATAAGGTTGGTGGCAAGTTTCCAACATAAATAATCACATGTTTTTTCTTTATGCACTTAATAAGACAATGTCCCAATTGTATCTGTGGGCTAACGTACACCTATGTTCACTCAAGGGTCATTTAGGGTGGGACCCACTTTTTTATTATTATTGTGAAAATAATATAAAAAATTATATAATATTTTTTATTAAAATAATTTTTAAATATATATTTAAATAAAATTAAAAAAAAAAAAGATGATAGATATAATGGATGTATTCACTTTATTTTTTTTATGTATATGTTTTTTATATTTGGTATGAAAATTTTCATTGATAATATAAAAAATAATACTCCCTCCGTCCCAAAAGATTTGTCTTATTTTTCCGTCCCAAAATAATTGTCTTGTTTTCTTATTTAGTAGTTGTGGTCCCCACTTTATAACAGAATTATTTCTACTTTTCTATACTACCCCTAATTATTACTCTAACATACTCTTTAAAGTTCTTAAAAAAGCAAGAGCATTTTAATCATTTACATTCTACTTTATACCCACTTTCAATTAAATACTATTATTCTTTAATTCCCGTGTCAACTCTCAATAAGACACTTCTTTTGGGACGGAGGGAGTATTTTACAATAGTCTCAATACAATAGTTTTGTTTACCATTTTTGTCCGTCTCAAAACAATAGTTTTATTCTCATAAATACTCATATCACCATAAAATCATCTTTACTTTTTTATTATTATTACACAAATGCCACTATTTTTTATACTAATACACTCACGAGGGTAAAAAAAATCTTTTATTCATACTTTTTACCAACTATCAATATAATATCAATATTTTTTAAATCTCGTGTCCAACTCAAATAAGATCATAGTTTTAGGACGAAGTGACTATTAAATTATTTATTTTTTGTAAATAGATATATTTTGAGCATAAAAACCAATTGGTAATAAGTAAAAATCGTTCTTCACCCTTGTAAGTCAAGGGAGTTCTCTTCTTAATATGTCATGTTATGTGGCTCTAATACCATGGAACTCCTGGACTTATAAGGGTGAAGAGTGACTTCACTTATCACCAGTTAGTTTTAAATTAAAAATTCGATTCCTTTTTAACATGTCATATCTTATAGAAATGAAGGGTGAAGCACTCATGGCCATATATTGCAAAAGCACGAAGACAATGATTACATATGTCGTGGCCATATCCAGAACACAACGGTTGACACCCTCTTAGAAATATACTACAATTCCAAGTCTGAGAAAGATCTTTGTGATGAGTCAAGTACATTGTTGAAGACCATACAAATAGAATACTCTTAAGGGTGTGTTTGTTTGGGGGTTTGGATTTTGAGTTAGGATTTGAATAGTAAAAATTTTGAATTTGAATAGTTGTATGATGTGATATAAATAGGTGTTGATGTGATGTTTTAAATGTAAAATTAATTTTTAGTATAATATAAAAAATAAAAAATAGGTGTTTGATTTGATGTTTTTAGAGGGAAAAAATTGGATGAATAGTAGAATTTTAACAAAATTCTACAAACGAACACATAGTATGTATCGATTTCAAGAATTATAAAATGGTTGACACCATGCATGTGATGCATGGAGCAATACAATTGATTGGTTCATGTCGTTCGCCAATTCACTTAGCATGGATTGAATATGGATGAATATATATTGGTATCAAGCATCATAAAAAATTTTCCATCATCTTGGAAGAAGTTAAACAGGCTCGTCTCGGATTTTTTTAGGGTCTTGAACAAAAATATATTATAGACTCTGTAAACATACGATTAAATGTATTTTTAAAATACTATCACTGATGGCATTAGCTGGACAAAAAGTTAAAGGCAGTGGTCTCACGGTATCGATTCAGAAGAAAAAGATAGAAGGTGAACTGGCAATGCTTCACAGTGGTGTCCGGAGGTTCAAAGATCGAGAAGGATTGAGAGGGGGTGAAAGAGAGAGAAGAGAGAGGGGGCGGGTTTGGTCTGGGTTGATGGGCGAGTGCAGCGCAGCAAGGCATAAAAAGGAGAGATGTAGATGACGATTGAATTTGAAAAAATAAAGTGCATCGCGCATAGGAAAAAGAGGTAGAAAAAAAAATATATGATTAAATTTTAACACTTAATTTTTAAAATTAAAATTGAATTGGATAATTACAAAAAAGAAAATTTAAAATTTAATAATAGTATCGGGCTAACGTTCTAAAATATGGGCTTTCTCTTTTTTAATTAAGGGTCCTCGGTTACTTACCTTACTTCTACTAAGAGCCGTTGCGCTTAAATATAAAGAGAAACTCTCCTTGGTTGAATCCATATCGAAGAGTCTTTGACGGCTCAAGAGAATGAAAGGGATAAGACTTTGTTTAGTTTTTTTGTGGATATGGTAGAAGAGGGAAAGAACGAAAGTCGTTTAAAGTCAAAAGAGGCAAAAAACAAAAATTTGACAACAATGACAAAGGCTCCAGCAAGAAGCCTAACGACTTGTTTAATTAATGGAAAAATAAGTCGTTTCGATTCTTCAAGCACGATTTATGGGTTACTGAGAACAACCGTGGGAAAGAGTTCGAAAAAAAAAAAAAACAAGGTAATATTTTGAAATTTTCTTTCATTAGGGAATTTGAATAGATTTTTTCTTTTAAATAATATCGATATTGAATATAATCTTATTAAATAAAAATTAATTAAACATAGTAATTCAATTTTTAAATTATCTTATAATTTACTCATCTTTTATTTATCAATGCATAAATAATTATTACTAATTCATAGTATTTTGAATCAATATTTATTTTTGGGATTATTTTTAAAAATATATAATTTGATGATGTCTATGAAAGCAATTTTTTTGTTTTTTTTTTTTATTTGAATATTGATAGAGGTGAATATCTCCATTGATATAGTAGAAAAATATATGTGATATAGAAGAAATAAGAGATAAGAAAAAAAAAAAAAAAAAAACTTGAAATGAATTTTCTTGGATATTGATTGCTGACATTTTGATCATTTTCCACATGTTAAAATTCATTGCTAATTTCTGTTGTATATGTGGGGGAAAGGGTGGCCTTCAGTCACTGCCCTCACTTATTTATTTGGCTTTTTTTTTTTTTTTTAAATATATGTATATTCGATCTCTCATTTAAATTTATTTTTATTTTTTATTATTTAAATTTATTCTCATTTTTTAAGTAAATATATATATTTTTTACTTCTTTTTTATCGTTAAAAAATTCTACTTTTAGCGACTTTCATAAAACTTGTGCCCGAGCAAATGAGCATACTTTTTTTTAATGGATGGAATAAAGTAGAATAAAATAATTGAAATAAATAAAATAAAATGTGAAAATTTGTGAAGTGAAACATTTTTAATAAATTATTTTTTAAAAAGAAAATTTACTAAAGAAAAATGTATTTGTCAATTTTAAATAATACAAAAATAAATATATATAATATGTTGTTGTTATAATTTTTTTACTTATTACTCCATCCGTTTTAATTAATTTAATTAAAATTATATTATAAATATTTTTATATAACAAGAAATTAAAATTTAATTAAACTGTGTAACCTTTTAAAAAAAAAAAAAAAGATATGACATGTGAGTCCGACAGAAGATATGAGACAAGAGGAAATAATATTTTCAAATAGTATAACTCTTGAAGAATAGAATTATCTTTTTATTAGGTTATGGTTATGCCACGGATTGTTGTGTTTTAGGATATGCATGAAAAATTATTAACTTGTATAATAAGCTAAATAAATAAATTATTGGTTCTTCTTCAATCCCAATGTAAATATATATATTTGGAAGAAACATTCAAATCGAAAACCCTATTACAAACAAATGGAATGCAAACCCTATCCCCAAATTTGCTCTAAACTTTCATGTCTTCTCGCTTTAGCTTTAGCCATAATTTCTTACAATTGGCGAATCCTAATGAAGAAACTATGTCAGTTTCGTCTTCGTCCTCGACCTCGACCTCGACCTCGACCTCTTCCTCCAGGGCCAAAAGGTTTTCCGATCATCGGTTGCCTTCCAACCATGGTCAAGAATAATATACCGACATTTAAATGGATGCACCAATTCATGAAAAGAATGGAAACCGAGATAGGTTGTTTCCATCTCGGAAACACCTATTTCATCACGGTTACATCCCCCGAGCTCACGTGCGAGTTCTTGAAAAAGCACGACGCGATTTTCGCGTCGCGGCCAAAAGTGATGTCTTCAAGATTGATAAACAATGGCCACATATCAACAGCCTTTTCCCCGGCCGGCGACCAATGGAAGAAGATGAAAAAGATTCTCGTCTCTAAAGTGCTCTCGCCTTCCATGCACGAAAAATTTCACGACAAAAGGCGCGGCGAAGCTGATAGATTAGTACGGTATGTTCATAGCCAATGCCGGAGCGAACTCAACGATGGGATTGTGGATGTAAGATCCGTAGCGCGGCATTATTGCGCCGGTGTCATCAAGAGATATATTTTCGACAAGAGATCTTTTGGAAAGGACGAGAAAGATGGAAGCCCGGCAATCGAAGATGTGGAACATATGGAGGCAACCTTCATACTCTTATCACATCTCTATGGATTTGCAATTGGTGATCTTTGTCCATGGTTAGAGGTGTTCGATTTCGATGGCCATAAGAAGATTATGACGGATGCTATAGCCGTTATCGATAAATTTCACGATGTTGAAATTAATCGAAGAGTCGAAATTTGGAAGAAAGGGATTGAAATTGGTGAAGAGGACATCCTTGGAGTGTTGATCAATCTCAAAGACTCTCAAAACAATCCCTTGTTGACAATTCAAGAGATCAAAGCACATATCAAGGTAAGCATTTTGATCATTTTTACTCGTTGAAGGTTTTGTAGATAAGAAAATTTAGAAGTTAAAAATGTTTGAATACCCTAAGAACATGATGATCTAACACCCTAGTCGAGTCCAGGCCGGTACTAACTTTCGAAAGCCAGGGTAAAAAAAAAAAAGAAAATAAATAAGGACTCTTAAATATATATATATATAATAAATAATATTCTTTATTTACATACAACAACATATAAATTTTAAATAATATAATTTTTCAAACATTCATCCGCACACCATCAAATTATACATCAAATAAGTTTTATATATAAAAAAATTATACATATGTAATATAAATATATAACGAGTCCCATGTATATATTGGGCTCTGAGCGTACGTTCCTCTTACCTGGATCCAAGGCCGGCCTCAAGTCAGAACGTTAAAATAGATAGCTATGAATGTATCTTTTATATTGAAATCAATTAGAATATATTTTATATTTTGTGTTGGATTACGTCACAGTTAACATAAATTATGTGTTTTCTGACATTACATACGGTACTCTCATTATTTTGTGTTGGATTACTGTCTTAAATTTTACAATTCAACATAGTAAATGACGCCTATATTTAATCATCAGTTGAAATCGCAGGATATAATATTAGCTACGACCGATAATCCATCAAATGTAGCCGAGTGGAGTCTCGCGGAGATGATCAATCAACCAAAAATCTTCGACAAGGCGCGCCAAGAGCTAGACCGCGTAGTCGGTAGGGATAGACTTGTCGAAGAATCGGATCTCCCTAACCTCAACTACATCAAAGCATGTGCTAAAGAGTCATTCCGGCTACACCCTATAGCTCCTTTCAACGTTCCACACGAATCATCCAAGGATGTCGTCGTGGGAGGCTATTTTATCCCGAAAGGCAGCCAAGTTCTGATTAGCCGTCGTGGAGTTGGACACAACCCGAGAGTTTGGGAAGAACCACTCAAGTACAAGCCGGAGCGCCACATCAGCCGCGACGAGGACACCGGGGAGGTCATGATCTCCGACCATGAGTTAAGAATGTTTTCGTTTAGTACAGGCCGGCGCGGCTGCCCCGGGTTCATGCTTGGATCTACTTTAACAACTATGCTTCTGGCAAGGCTTATTCAGGGTTTCGATTGGAATGCGCCGAATGGGCCGGAATTTATCGATCTCGGCGCGCCGGACGACGATAATTTTCTGATGAAGAGACCGCTGCTCGCGCGTGCTACGCCGAGGTTAGAACCACATGTTTATATGCAGCTCTATTTATGAAATGCTTTAAGTTCTTACTGTTGTAGTGTTTAATGTGTATATATATCTGTTTGCAGGAATCGGATTTTGATCTTGTATTGTATCTTTAGGCTTTGTTTTTTTTATTGTTTTTTTTTTTTTTTGCGCACAACTTTTAAAAAAAATAAATACACTACACACATTTATTATTTTTATATTTTTTACAAAATTATCTGTAGTTCACATAAAAAAAATTATTTTTAATAATCTAACAAAACAAACACGGGTTAGTTTATTAATATATGTAATAATGGGTTTTCTTCGATGTGTTTGATGTTGATTGCACGAATTAAGATAGTCAAATTGAGAAAAATTGTTGATCCAAGATCGTAAATATTTTATAGAAGAAAACCAAAGCCCAATAAAAGAAAGTTTTGGATGAACCCTAAAAATTTTGAGAAGTAGAAAATTAGTAATTTGAAACTTTTGGTGTGTTTGTCCTGAAAATTTTGAATCGAAATACTTGTACGATGAAATAAATAGTTTTTTTTAATGATATTTTGTATGTTAAATTAATTTTTAATATAATATAAAAATAAATATTTAATTTAATATTTTTTTAAAATTTCGGTGACTCCCCCAAACGAACACACTGGAATATTGGTTTTAAGAAATTTTAGTTTAAATTTTATATTTAAATAATATTTTTAAAAATTACTCAGAACACAAATTTTAAAGAATGGGGAACAAAATTTATGTATCGTTGATGAAATTTTAAATATAAATAAAATTATTTATTTTTTAAAAAGAGATAGAATCAAAAAGATTTTAAATAGTTTTTGTACCATGTTATATATTATGTAATTAATTAATTTAATTTAAATTCATTAAATATATTTTTATTATAAAATTTTATTTAAAATAAAAAGATATCAATTAATTTTTTACAAAAAAATGTGTCAATTAAAGTGAGATAAGAAAATATGAATTTTTTCTGAATAAATATGTTAATTATTTTTAAAAAGAGAAATATATAGCAAATTAATTTTTAATATAATATAAAAAATAAATATTTGATTTCATATTTACTAGACCAAAAAACTTGATAAATAATAAGGATTCCTTGCGTCCCGTTTAATTTGTCGCACATATAATTTATCTTTTCCTTTTTTTTTAATATAAAGATTTATAATTTATAATTTTTATTAAATTATTAAATTATTTTAATATTAATGTATAACTATTTTTATTAAATTATAATTATTTTTACTAATATAATTTTTAATTATTTACTAATTGTAAATAACTTCCAAAACTTCTATAAAACTAAGAGAAATTTTGAAAAAAAAAATGCCTTTGTATTCTTTTGTAAGTTTTATACTAATTTTTATTATTCAATTTTTTTTTTAAAAATATCAAATCAAATAATTTTTTTTTTTATATTATATTATAAATTTATTTTACATTTAAAATATTACAATCAATTTAACATAAAACAATTATTCAAATTTAATATTTTATTATTTAAAAATCCAAATTGAAAAACTGACCCTAAATTTTGGGGAACTGATGAGGTCAATACTCCAAAGTTTCCTACCGCTCAAAAGTTGATTTCACGTGTAAAACGATGAGGAACCCTTCACTTCCCTTCCCATTCGGCCCACACTCCCCAACGCGGATAACCTCACCGACCCACCCACCCACCATCTGCACCCAAGCTTACAAAAATTTCTCCGTTCCTTTTTCCCAATTCTCCCACCTCCATATGTTCACGTTTGCCCCACTCTTGCAACAACAACTCGCTCTAAGCCGCGCCCACTTTTGGGTAAAGCAATTGCAGAAGTTTCAATAAAGCTTGATCCGTTCTGTCATGGAGTCTTTAGTGGAGGCGACTTCCGGTGCGGTCGGGGCACTGGTCAGCACCACAATTTTGTATCCGCTTGATACCTGCAAGACTAAGTACCAAGCCGAGAATCGAGACCACCATCATAAAAAATACAGGTTTGATTTGACTTCTTTCTTTCAGCAATTTATTTGTTTTCACTTGATCCTGTCTTCTCTTTGTAGCAAAATTTCAGTAATTTATTCTGGATTGATTGTGTGGTTCATTTTATTGATTGTTCTGGAGTATGAGAATTTTCTAGTTGTTGATATTCAGTTCTGCAGTTTTCTCTTTGATTGATTATCTGTTGATGGTAATTTTGACTGTATCTATCTTGATTGATTCGTCAGGGGATATGAACCAATTTTGAGATTAAACTTAGCTGGATTTGTTTTGGGAAGTTAGGGTTTATTGGCAAAAAGGGGATTTTTTTAGGTAAATAATATATGTAGTAGGTTTTGAATAATGGTTCATTTATTTATTTATATATTGATTTCTCTCTTAAAATTATTTGTCAGCTTAAAGTAAGGAAAAATAGCCATTCTCACAAGATTGATTCTCACTTATTTAGCTCTACTTTTGTCGAACTCTGTTTGATCTTGAAGTATATATTTTCAATGAAATTCTGCATAGCATAATCACGTCGGGGTTGTGATTCAGATTTTGTATTATGGCTTATTGATTAATGATTGTTTTAATCCAAGAGTTTGGCCTTCAATAGTCGAAATTAGGTAACAGAATATATGCAAGTAATTAAAGAGTAGTTTTTGTTCAAGTGTTTTTTTTTTTCTTTTAATTTTCTGAATAGTGATTTTGTTGTCATGATCTAATGCATAAATTTGAATGGAATTATAATAGGCATAAGGATTGAATAGTTATCAATGATCGAACTATTTTTTGTTTGTGCATTGTTGTTTTTCCTCATTTCATATCCCTTATGTAAACTTGTTCGTGGCAAGGGTCTTATTAGCAAGGAAATATGAATTTCAGTTTAATATTTCATCGACTGTTTTGATTTCCCCAGGAATATCTCAGATGTGCTTTGGGAAGCAATATCGACACGTCAAGTGCTCTCATTGTACCAGGGATTAGGAACGAAAAACTTTCAGTCTTTCATCTCCCAGTTCATCTATTTCTATGGATACAGCTTCTTTAAGAGGCTTTACTTGAAGGAAAGTGGATATAAATCTATCGGTACTAAAGCGAATCTGATCATAGCTGCCGCCGCTGGTGCGTGCACAGTCATTGTGACTCAGGCAAGTCTATTTCAGTCGGTAATTTTGAGTTTCAGCTTATATATATATATATCACAATTTAATGATTCCTATATGATGAATTTTATTGCTTTGGACATCTTAACGGAATTAGCAATCTACTGCTAATTTTGAACCATAACATCGATATGATTTACTACTTCTTGGGAAAAAATCATTTTTAGTCTCAATTTAACCAAAATTCATCAATTTTGGTCACAATATAAAAATCTTATCAATTTTGGTCTCAATATAATCAAAATTCATCATTTTTGGTCCCAATATAAAATATTTATCAATTTTAATCCCACTATAACAAAAATTCATCATTTTTTGTCCCAATATAATCAAATCTTATCTTTTTTTGTCCCACCGTCAACAAACTGACGGAAAATGCTGACGTGAAAAGAAATCAAACCTTATATTTATATTTGAAATTGCACAATCTTGCAAGTCTACGTCAGCATTTTCCGTCAGTTTGTTGACGGTGGGACTAAAAAAGATAAAGTTTGATTATATTGAGACAAAAAATTATAAAAATTTTATATTGGGACCAAAAATTAATAAATTTTGGTTATATTGGGATCAAAAATGATTTTTTTCCCTTCTTTATTGTAAATTTTGTAAATAATTATTTATTTTTTGTTTCGGTATAGCCTCTTGATACAGCATCTTCAAAGATGCAAACAAGTGATTTCGGGAAATCTAAAGGACTTTGGAAATCGCTTTCAGAGAGCTCCTGGAGTGAGTCATTCGATGGTCTGGGCATCTCTCTTCTTCTTACATCAAATCCTTCCATTCAGGTTAATATGCGCCTTCGATTTCTTCATAACATCTGTTGCTGAATTATCATTTATATTCGACTGAATTTGTTGTATATAAAAAGTTACTGAAGCATCTAAACGTGAATCCAATTATAATCATATGCATGCAGTATACGGCATTCGATCAGTTAAAACAGAGGCTATTGAAAGCAAAGAAGAGGAAAAAGAGAGACGACGACATAGCATCTTCAGAAGCCCTTTCTGCATTTTCTGCTTTTGTGTTGGGCGCAGTCTCGAAATGTATTGCCACGTGCATAACATACCCGGCTATAAGGTTATTACTGATTCGCCTTTACTTGCTCTATATTAAATTTCATTTGAATCGTATAATTTACCCTTTTCATTTTTATTTTTTATTTATGTCATTTTGAGGGGCCTTTAATATCACTAGCTGTATGATTGATATAGTTGGGGCGTGTTTGTTTGAAAGATTTTCTCGGATTTTTACTATTCATCAAAATTCTTTTTTCTTCAAAATATCAAATCAAATAATTATTTTTTATTTTTTATATTATACTAAAAAATAATTTTACATTCAAAATAGCACGTCAGCACATTATATAACTATTCTAATTCAAAATTTTTACTATTCAAATTTCAACTGAAAATCTAAACCCTCGAACAAACACACTCTTGCTCTTTCTTGATCAAACATCGTCTTTGTTGCGCTGAATAAAGTTAGTTTTTACATAGTCATATTGGAAGTAGAAATTATAATTAGAAAAGAATTTGTAGTCGACGTTGTTGCACTACCCCATCCGCTTCACTAACCGAGCATTTGGTATGAACAGGTGTAAAGTGATGATTCAATCAGCTGAATCTGATGAAAGCAATGACGACCAACTCCAAAAAAAATCCCGTAAAACTGTGTCTGGGGCACTCTATTCAATTTGGGAAAGGGAAGGGCTGCTCGGCTTCTTCAAAGGTCTACAAGCCCAAATCCTGAAGACTGTCCTAAGCTCGGCCCTTCTTTTAATGATAAAAGAAAAAATCACAAAGACCACTTGGGTCCTAATGCTTGCACTCAGAAGATTTGTGCTTGTGACAAGAGCAAGACTAATCGGCCCTTGAAAATTCCCGGCTCATGTTCAAGCCTCTCAGTAAAATGCAATAAAGGAGATAATGCTCCATTTTGCATCGAGAAGGATTCTACCCGAATATGATCTACACCACAAGAATCGCGATGAATAAGGTTAGCACTTAGCAACTTAACTTGTATTTGGTTCTTGGATTGTGATCGTTACGATGAAAGCCGATATTTGTGTCTTAATTTAGTAAAGAGTAATCCTAGGTTTGATTTACTTGTGCATCGGGTAGTATCAATGCGTTGTAGCTTTAAAATAATTCGTCACCTAGGTTTCATTCGGGGAAAGAACAGGTTGTTGTGCAATATGTGGTACTATTATTTTTAGTGTTTCTCCTCTCCGAGATTTTGATTTGAGCCATTAGAGCATCAGCCTCAAAGTCTTGACGAGTGCTGTTTCTTTGTCTTTTTTAGGATTGAAATTTCGAATTAAATCTATCCCTAAATAGCTTGTATCATTTAATATATGTTCATTATTGGAAATTTGGCATTGGCATAGAAGTTGTGGCTGTCAAAATAACATGTGGCTTCTCCATGATAGAGTTCTATTTGGTGTCTAAGGTTTTATGTTGCTATTTATTCTAACTATGTGTTGTTTCAAGAATTTAGGAAGACTTCACTATTCACTAGAGCTGTAAACGAGCCGAACAGAGCCGAGCTTGTCATATTTGAGCTCGGCAACATGACAACCTTGGCTCGTTAGGGACTCGAGCTCGGCTCGTGTTCATTCGTCAAGGGATACGACTTGAAGTTTTTGTTTGAGCTTGACTCGTTTAACAATTTTTTTTGTTTGTGTTCGGCTCGACTCGGCTTATTAAGAGAAATTTTATTTATTTATTTAATTTTTTTAAAGAAAATTAAATTTAGTTAATTATAAGTATAATTTTTATTAATAAATTTAAATAAAAAATAGAATGAAATATAATTAATATTTATAAAGATATATATTTATTAAATATAACATTATTAATTTAATTTTTCTAATAAATACTATTGAACATTCGCGAACAAGCTCGAGCTCGTTCGTGAACATAACGAGCCAAAATTTATGTTCGTGTTCGGCTCGTATAGCTTAACGAACGAGCCGAATCGAGCTGAGCTCGCAAACTGTTTGTTTATTTTACAGCTCTACTATTCGCACACAGTTTTTCAAAAATATCAAATTAAATTTTTATTTGTATTTCTTATATTATATTAAAATTTATTTATATATTTAAAATATTGCTTCAATACTTATATATATCACTTCATATAATTATTCCAAATCAATTTTTTTATCATTCAAAACTCAATTCAAAATCCTAACTTCCAAAGAAACACACAGAAAATAAGAGTAAATCTCAATTAAATGACGATTAGATAATGATTCACACAATATGTATATGGTAATCATTCATAGAATATATATTCATTCATTTGGGAATAATTACGATGTTGATTTGCTAATTTTCAAATCAACACGCATACAAATAGCATATGTTATTGTGTATAACAAAAGTATTTATTATTTTCATAGTTACAAGTGTGCTGTATAAGAGTCCGTCTGCACTAAAATCAATTGTATATTATGTATCTATTTTTTTATTAGAGGTGCTGAAATTATGTGGTGGTTGTTTATTTTTTAGTATGTCTTAATTATGAGTGTTGATTACTTCTAGTAAGCGCCATAATCCTTATATACTCCCTCCGTCTCATGTAATATGGGTGTATTACCGTAGACACGAGAATTTAGGTAAAGTATAATTAAGAAATATATTAGTAAAAATAATTATTATTTAGTAAAAATAATTATAGATTAAGATTAAGATAAGTAAATAATTTAATTAAAATTAAGAAAATTATAAAATTTAAAATTTAAAATTTAAAATGCGATTAAAGTGCATAATTATATTTCCAAAAATAGAAATGACAAATTATGTGGGACGGAAAAAAATAAAAAATAAAAACAAATTATGTGGAACGGGTGGAGTATATTTAAAGATTTGCATGGTAGGCTAGATTCCAATTTTGAAGAATTATTATATATATATATATATATATATAGAGTCGGTTAAATTTATCTATAATCCGTAGATAATTGTCTATTTATAATTTCATTACTCTAATTAAATAAATTTTAATTAATTTATCACTAAAATTTTTTATTTACCTCATTATTTTATTATTAATTTTTTAATAAATTTTTTATAATATTCTTATTTACTTTTTTTTTACTCTATTTTTTTCATTGAAATATTATTATGTCTTAGTTTCTATTTTTCCTAAATTGTGGAGAAAAATGTTAAAGTAGAAACAGAAAATAGTTTTTTTTTTTCGTCTACTTTTAATGTTTACATATTTTCATTTTCGTCCGTCTAATTCAAAAAATTATATTTCGCTTCTAAAATTTATATTTCGCTTCTTCAGTAACTATTGACCATACCACTAACTACTAATATATTTTTTTAACACTTATCATGTTATTTTCATTCTATTATACAAGTAAATAAGTAAGGGCAATTTAATTTTTACATTATTAAATCTATCTATTACTGTTAAAATATTTAATCTGCCTGCAAAAAAACAAATGTAAACCTAAAATTGCTCGAAAAGAATACATGAAGATAAAGAATTTGTGCCAAATTTGAGATGTAGAAACAGAAAATTGTAAAAATTGTAAACAGCAACTTCAGTATCCATTCTGCTCATCTACACAGACCAATTCAGCTCAAGGAAGAAGACAACTCATTTCCATGTGTGTGTATATATATATATATATATAAATGTATATATACCTGCCAAAGAACCTTACAACAAAATCAAAATCCCAACAACAAGAAACAGAGCATACCCAACAGCAAGAACCCCCGGGATGGCGACGGCGGCGGCGCCATTGTTGTTCTTATTAGTCCCGAGGGCGTAATTCCCCTCGGGGGTGCTCGTAGTCAGCACAACGACAATCCAATTCTTTTCCGAACCGATCCCAATCCCCGTGTACTGAGTGTCGTTCAGGTTGCCCGAGTACTGCGACTTGGTGAAGTTGGAGAGGACTACAGCGGGTTCAAGGTTTGGCACGCAGGCGGGCATGATCTGGCCGTCTCTTGTCGTCGTGACGTTCAAATTGCACTTCGATAAAAGTTTGGGGAAGTCGGCGTACTGAGGCTCGGTGCCCGGCACGGTGTTGGCGCCCGTCGTGTTCGTGCATGGTTGGTTCTTGAATTGCTCCGCGACTTTTTCGGCCAGGCATTCAGCTCGATCGTTCTTTGTTAGAGCCTTTAGGTTTAGAGTTGCTCGGTACCGGTTGATTCCTTGGAGAAGATTGTCTTCCTCATCTGCAAGATGGAATTAAAAGGGAATTGGATTGAGATATACTAAGAAAAATGTTTCGTTTTTTTGGTGATATTAGCTGAAGATAGGCATGATGGAAATCGAACCTCCAACTTAAGGGTCGGGGGTTTAAGACAAACATGAGATGAAGGTAACTTTCCAATTCTAGACAAAAAAAAAACTATTAAAACAAGAATATATCTAAAAGGGTATGGATCAGTTGACTGGATCAGCGTATGCTATACAGGTTATCAATATATTTATATATGTCTCGGCAAATTTATAATATAGTATATATTAAATATATGTTGCATGACCTAGACTGATCTGGTCAAATCAGCGCCACATTGACTTGGCCGGATCAACACTGCAGCCTATTTAAAATGTAATCACTTTGAAATAAAAATAAGGATCATTTGGTTGGATGAATGAATTTGGATTTGCTAAGGAACTTTAAATTAATGAATTCGGAGTACATAGTCAAATTTAAATGAATGAATTTGAATTACTTTATAATTTGGACTCGAATTACTTTAAGGGTGCGTTTGTTTGGGGGATTGGATTTTAAATCACTATTCATCCCATTTTTTCCCCCAAAAACATCAAATCAAATACCTATTTTTCATTTTTTATATTATACTAAAAATCAATTTTACATTCAAAACATCACATCAACACCTATTTATACCACATCATACAACTATTCAAATTCAAAATTTTTACTATTCAAATCCCAACTCAAAATCCAAACCCGAAACAAACACACCCTAAATTTGAAATACTTTTACATTTGGGAAATACTTGAAATGAAGAGTACTTAAATTGTTAAAAGAAGAAGGATTTGAAATCCACTATGAGTGTGTTTTTTGGTAGATTTTATAAAATTTATACTATTCATTAAATTCCCCTACAACATCAAATCAAACATATATTTTTTATTTTTTTTATTATACTAAAAATTAATTTTACATTTAAAATATCACATCAAACGTCGATTTATATCACATCGTACATGTATTCCAATTCAAAAGTTTTACTATTCAAATTTCAAACCTAAAATCCAAACCCTCGAACAAACAAATTACATTGCATAGCCAAAAGAAACAAATAAATTTGATGGATTCATTTGAATAGGTTGAGGGGTTTGGGTTAGATTATTACAAGTGATTCCATCAAAATCATTACTTTTGTTCGACAATACGATAATATCAAATCTTCAATGTTTGTTGTGAACTCTTAAATACTCTTTATTCTATTTCATTTCAAATAGTTCTTTTTTAACCAAACGATGGATTCTAACTATGAAGTATTTCGAATCCGAAGTAATTGAAATCCATTCACTTAAAATCCACTCTCAAATCCAAATCCATCCACAACCAAACAGGGCCTTAATTCAATTTCCTTCAACCAAACTACCTATATACATATATATATATATATATATATCAACACCAAACTCAATGTGAAGTGGGATCTAGAATCAAACTACATAACAAAATCAGATAGATCTAAAACCAAAACATAGAACCAAGAACATCCAACGACAAAGTGAAGAATCAATCAATGTTACCTACACAAATCCACAAATGAACTTCAAATCCAAAAAATCGATCAGCTAATGAAAACAATTTCTGCAAATACACAATGGATTAAACTACTGTGAGTTCAGATCTTCAAATAATCCTAAATGTGGAAATCACTAAAACCCTAGCTAGCTCATATACTGCATCAAAATTAACCACATTGCAAATCCAAACAAGTCAAAAAAATTAAGATCCAAATGGATAATGAAAAGATTGAGCGTTTGTACCGTCGCATTTGATGATGGAAATGGAGTGACAGAGCAGTGAGAGAATTAGGAAATATTGAAAATGGAGGGACGCCATAGCTGGGCAGAGCAGAGAACTTCCTTTAGAGAGAGAGAGAGAGAAGTATCTTTCGGTGGAGGGGAGAGACTGTCAATCTCTGTAATACATAAAATGAGTCATATGTGACGTTTGTTTGTTTGCTAAACGGTGCCGTTTCGTTAGAGCGTCGTTTTCAAGATTTTTAAATATTTAATTAATTTTAGGGAGACTTTGGAGTGAAGGAAGGCTCTGCAGATCGATCGATCAATCGTTCGTCACCAGATTCGACTATCGGTGCAAATTCATTTATGTTAAATTTTAATTTTATTTTTATATAAATTGTAATTTAAATAAAATTAATAATTTACACGTTATAAGTATGAATGTCAAATGGGGCGGGTTAGCCTCGGATCCGCCTCGGATCCGCTTTTAATGGGCGAGTTCGGATCTAAATAATATATTTTGGGGCGGATTGTGGATTTAAAATTTTAAATCCGGTCGAGTTTGGGGCGAGTTACGAGTTTTACTAAAAACCCGCTCCAATTCGGATCCGGACTCGAACTCAGATATTTTTTAAAATTATTATAACTAATATATATGTACATTTATATAATAAAAATATATTATTTATTTACTTAAATAATTTTAAATATAAAATTCAATTAGTCGCGTCTGCTCCAAATAATTTTTAAAAATTATTATACCTAATATATGTATATGTAATAATAAAAATATATTATTTATTTATTTATCTTATTTTTATGGATCAATATATGATTGTTTTTAGATTTTTTTTTGTGCTTTTAATGCTATTTGTTTTAGTATTCGATTGTTAAAAAAATATTTATTATTATATATTTTTTAAAAAAACGGGTTTGCCAGGTTTGCCCCGAACCCTCCAAGTTCGGGGCGGGGCGGGTCTTAGGGCCGGGTGGAAGCGGGGCGGGACAGGTCTCGGAGCCTAATATTTTCTAGCGCCGTGGGTCTCGGGGCCTGCAGAACCCGTGCCGAACCCGCCCCATTGACATCCCTAATTATAAGTCCATCTTGTAACATAAAAGGTCTTTTTTTGAAGAAGTTCAAAAATAATATTCTCTCAATTTACAAATTAATATCTTATTTTTTTTATTTGAAATATTGAATAATTATTGTTCCTTTTTTTATATATACACAAAATTTACTTTTTTTATTTTTTCTTTATTTACTTTTTTTCTTTTTTTTCTTTTTTTTTTTTTTGGGAAAACAGCAAAAAAATCCCATTTGGTTTAGCGAATCTGCTAAAAACCCCCTGTAGTCTTAAAATTCCAAAAAATCTACTTGTGGTTTGTAAAACGTTCCAAAAAATCCCCCCTCCGTTAGGATTTAACGGAGGTTGTATACGTTTTTTTGTCTATAAAATGATATATTTATGTGTAAAATTATTGAAATACCCTAATGACTTCTTCTTCCTTATTCTTCTTGTCCCTCATTCTTTTCTTCCTTATTCTTCTTCTTTATTCTTCTTATTTCTTATTGTTATCCATACTTTCAGAATTTACTCTCAATTCATTTTTTTTATTTAAAATCCGTTAAATACAATCAAATTTGACACCGATTCCAAATTTATCACAATTAATCGACCGGACATGGATCTTCTTCTATTTTACCAAACCCAGAAATATTTCTTCTTCTGTTTTACAAAACTCAGAAATAGCAAACCCAAAAATTTAAGAAATCAATTTGACATCAAGATTTGAAATCAATCTAAGAAGAAATAAAGAAAGAAACGGCGTACGGAAGAATTAGGGAGAAAAAATAAAAAAAAATAAAAATTGAGGAAAAAGAGATAGAGAAAGAAGAAAGAAAAACCTGTTTGCTTCTGGTTGCAACTGCGTACGGAAGAATTGGAGAGAAAAGAATAAAGAAGAAAGAAAATTAGGGAAAAGAAATAGAAAAAGAAAAAAAAATTGGAGAAAAAAAAAAAACTGGTATCGAGCATTTTTTTCTCTTTTTCTTTTCCTTCTCTTCTTTCTTCTCTTTCTTTTCTCCTTCCTTCTTCCCTTCCCTGCCGCTTCTGCCCATCATCTTCTTTCTATTTTTATTCTTTTCCAATTCTTCTTTGAAGAATGAAGAATTGGAGATGAAGAAGAAAAAAAAAATTGAGGAAAAATATGTGTGGAGAAGAATTTGGAGAAGAAAAGAAGATGAAAGAAAGAAGTTGGGGAGAAGAGAAAAAGAATGAAGCGAAGAAGAAAGAACAGAAGAAGAGAGAGAAATAATTGGAGAAGAAGAAAAGAAAAATTGAGGAAGAAGATGTGTGAAGAAGAATTTGGGGAAGAAAAGAAATGGAAGAAACAGATTGTGGAGAAGAGAAGAAGAGATGAAGAAAGAACATAAGAGAATCACAAGGGCATAACGGTCTGATGAGGGTAAAATTTAACGCCGTCAGTGTGATTTAAAAGGGGGCGAGTGTGCAACATTTTACAAACTACGAGTAGGTTTTTTGGAATTTTAGGACTATGGGGGTTTTTAACAGATTCGGTAAACCACATGGAATTTTTTTTGCTGTTTTGCCCTTTTTTTTCTATATATATGAGATAAATGATAAATTTGTTTACTCGTAACAAAAAAAAAAAAAATTAATTGTCTAATAGAACATATAAATATCAATTAGAACAATAAAAAATAGACCGATGAAGTACATCATACAAACTCTAATATATCTTTGTTTTTAGTTGTTTGTTGTTACTATAACTAATTTTAACTATATTTTTGTCTCTAGACTTCTTATTAGATTTTACAATGTAACGATTTTCTACTTGAAAACTAATTGCATTTCTTATTTTAACCTTTTAAGTCCAATTGTAGTGTCAAAATGTATATTTCATTATTTCAATTCTGTTAAAATTATACGTAACTAACTTTTTTAAGGTACTTCAATCAACATATTTACAGTCATATAAAAACACATTCTTTTTTTTTGTCTATACTCAGTATTATGGCTAGTTTAGAAATTTTTTTGTCTTTACTTCAAAAGTTGTGGCATAATTTTCACCGTCTAATTGGCCTACGGAAGTTAAATTCCTCTTCAAACTTGGCATGTGTTTGATGTCACGCAACTTTTACTTACATTGATTGTGAGTTTTGATCTTTATGATTTTTTTTTTTAATTTTTTTTTCACAGTTCTCAACCGCTCATCGTTTGCAAAATGAACAATTATGATATCTCCGGAGGTGTCGTTTTTCATGACGCCAAATGAGTGCTAGTGCTCACAAGCATATTATTCCTTATATCTTTTGTCATTGCATTGATTGAATTGTTGTTGTTCTTATCCATTTTTCGATGTTCTGCACTAATTCCGATTATGTTCAAACTTCTCACAATTCTAGCACACGACATGACTCAAATCTTTCTTGGGTCTACTTCGATTACTCAACTTGAATCCATATTGATTTATCCTCTTGGAGTTAACCCTTGATCGGTCTTTTTGGAATTACATTTATCTTGATTTTATGTACTCAAGATACATCATGCCACCTCTTGCTTCCCGTGAATTTTTCCGCTCAAAATTAGATCTCTAAGGGCATCAAATTTCAATTTCTCTTGTTCTAATGAAATACTCTCTCCGTCCACAAATTAATGTCCTACTTTTCTATTTTGGACGTCCAACAGCTATTGTCTTTTTTTTTTTTTTAAACACAAATTTTATATTTTTACCATTCATTCATTTATTACTTTTAATCTCTACCATACAATTAAAGGCAAATTTGTCAATTAATAATAAAAAGAAAATCACCTAAAAGACCGTGCAAATATACTTTAGGACAGAACAAATTGGACGGAGGCTAGAAGACTCGAAAACAAGATTAAGACTTTCACCGTCTCGTCAAATTCAATATTAATAGAGGTAAATACTAATAATATGTTATATTTTATTCTATATATAGTTAGTTACTAATAATATGCAGGCAATCCTTGACTCGAAACGTCGGACCTGTCACATTCACTTCAATAAAATAAATAAAATAAAATATAAACATACAAATCATGCATGTGCTAATTGCACTGCTAATACAAATAGTAATGGAACCAATCGTAAAACTCCGAGGGGCAAAATATCGATTTAATATTGTCTTTCTTTTTCGAATTCTCTCAGCACAGCCAGATAAAGAAAAAGAAAAAATTAAATACATTTTTAAAAAAATTCAACAGAACTACATAAAATTTAATATTTTTTTACTATAAATAAAAAATTAAAAACTAAAAATGTAAATCAACACATAAGCATAATTTTTATTATTTTTTGCACTATAAAATAAAAAAAAAAATTAGAATGACAAATTAATAAAAAAAATATATATATAATTTACTCCATCAGTCCCATATATAATAAGGTATCCAATTTTCTATTTTAGTCCGTCCCATAACAAAATTTTCATTTTTTTTTTTTAGTAATTGTACTATCTACCTAACATTACAAATACCCTTACAACTTACAATATATTACGCAAGTGTTATTATATTTATATCACACGTACTAAGAGCATCTCCAACACAGCGTCATTAATGGATTGAACACGATAACTTGCAAACCATGTCGGTCAGGTAATTAATCACAGCATACAAGTCTTCTATTAGTTATTTTGGCATGCAAACTTATGATTTTCTATAAGAATATAGTAGTATTTATATTATAAAATATCATATCAAAATTATTATTGAAACTAAAATATAAAATTAAAGTCCAAATAATCGCTTTCATACCAAATGATATTGAACTAATCTATATTAAAATGTTAATTTATTTATATAGTTACTTTATGCTGACTTCAAGTGTCAAATATGTTAAATATGAATCAAAACAGTGTTGATGCCAATTATTTTTATGAGAATGACAGCCTCATTTCTTTCCTAAAATAATAATAATGATAATAATATATAAATATAACTCCGCTTCAATGAATAAATGATTTGAATTATAAGTATTTTGTAACGAAATTTTGTTCCTAAAGTTCACGTAGCTAACGTAATTTCATCTTTAATTTCGTCTCTAATATCATTAGTAACAGAAAAAGTGAATTTATAAACGAAAAAATTTCGTTACAAAATTGATAATTTTTTATAGTGAATATTTCAAATACCTTTTACAT